CATGACAGTCTTGACCTGGGTCTTGAGAGGGGTCTCACCACTGGAGGCTTCTGGGGACATCATGAGAGTCTTGACCGGGGTCTTGAGAGGGGTATTGCTGCCGGAGGCTACTGTGTTTATGCCGGAGGTACTTGAGATTGCCAGGCCCTTAAATCGTATACATTCTTCCTCTTCCTCAAGCACAGCAGCAGTGGCACTCTGCTTCCTGGGTTTTAGCCCCTTTTTCAGCCTGGAGCGCAGGGTCTTCACCTCATCAATGAGGGCATCCTTCTGAGCCCTCAATACCAAATGTTCCAGCATCACCTGCCTGCAGTCCTCTTCGTTACACTCAGTATGTGGGGAGAAGGGTGGAGGGTGCACCGGGTATTCCTCCTCATTGTCTATACCTGTACATGTGGATAGTTATGTAAATTGTAATCCCTGTGATGATGATGTAAGATGTCCTTTTGTTGTTCTGTTAATGTTTGTATGTTTCATGTGGAACCTACTTGAGCAGGTCTCCCTTGTAAAAGAGTTCAATGATCTCAATGGGATTTATCTGGATAAATAAAGGTTTGAAATCTGAAATCTGATATCCAATGATGTAGCCATTCCAATGATGGGATTAGCCTCTCTGAGGTCATGGAGCAACTGCAGGGCCACACTATGCTTCAGCCTTGCCAGGACCTGATGTGCTTCATCTCGGGATAACTCAGGGTGGCCATGAGTGACATGACGGTGCAGTTTCTTCCCAGCATACGACCACCCTGTGATGGGACAGGGTTTGGTCCAAACATTTATTCTGCCACTGGCCATTTTAAGAATGATGCCTCTTTACTCCAAGTTCCGCACTGCATGTTTGTGCTTAAGGTGCTTGTTCAACGCCAGATAGAAGAGTCTGCACACCGGGCATTCGGACGACATCCTTACTGAAACAGACACAGTGAATTCTATTTAAATTATTTTCTGTTTCTCCGTTTATATGCGTTAGCGTAACCGGTGATTGCAACCATGGGTCCGATGCTTCAATGCATGGTACACGGACCAAGGGAGGACTTGGGTTACCACCGGGTTAAATGGTCCCACCTCCGCACCTCCTCTGTGCTGGTGATGGCAACATTGGGTTCGATACATCAATTCATGGTGCCCCGACCATGAGAGGGTTTGGGGTGCCCCGGATCCAGGCAGTACCCCAGCAGGAAACACGTTTTATGGTCAAAGGAGGAAAGAGTGATAGAACCGGGGTAAAGCAAAGAAAGTGTCCGACAATAGTGACTTGTGAGGCGGCCAGAGAGTTTGTCATCTCTCGGTCCTATCCTCCAGGCAATGCGGTACCAGAACTGGGTCAAATTGACCAAAATGTTAAAAGAAAAAGTTTCAATTCATCCATGGAAAAGGGCTGAAAATGAAAAAAAGTATCCGAAAATAGTGCATCATGAGCCTGCAAGAGTCCCCTGTCAACTTCCCTTGCATTCCTCCACAGTCAGAAAAAGTCTGAGTTCACTTTTTGGAGATCCATAGAAAAGGGTTGAAAATGAAAAAAAGTATCCGAAAATAGTGACTCATAATGCGGGTAGAGTCCCCTGTCGACTCCCCTTACATTCCTCCAGACTCAGAAAAAGTCTGAGTTCACTTTTTGGAGAACCATAAAAAAGGGCTAAAAGTGATAAAAAATGTATCCGAAAATAGTGCCTCATAATGCGGGTAGAGTCCCCTCAAACTCCCCTTGCATTCCTCCAGAGACCAGTTCAAAAACTTAAAGTTTGGTAAGAACCATGATGGGGGGTCTCCGGGCAACACATGTATCCGAGCCAGAGGACAGATGGAGCGGATACATTCTTCCATGAAGTGACACAGCCGTTTTTTTTCTGAGTCTTCTCAAAAACCGGGTCTCCAATTTCGTGCAGACAGTAGTCTGAAATTGATGAATTAATTTGTTCGACGGAGAAGGGGAGACTTGGTTTTCCCTCTCCGTTGTAAGTTACAACGGGGGAGTGGAAAAGTGTCCGGGGCTTCGGCCCGAAGCGCCGAAGGGTTGAGCTTTGTTGAGCCCCTTCTCCGTTGGCACTTACTTAATTTTTGATTATTTTAAGATATAATTGACAGTTTTCTTTAATTGTTTCTTCTTTCCACGGGTGGGGGCGCATGGCAGGCCGCCTATGAGCTCCCAAATTCGGCTTGGAACCTCCAGGATTTGTGGGATAAGCTCCATAAACTGACAAAGTCACCCAGCAATTTCACTTTTATAGCCCAAACATATATAATACAAATACATTTAAATAGTAAAAGGTACAATAGTGCTCCGAATTACCCGGAATTTGATTTATATAGCCCCATGATAGTGAATACAAATCATTTTCATGGGAAAAAAAAGTGTTAAAACGCCTGATTAAAGCATATGCAGGACCCCAGTGAGCTCCAGACTATGCACATTGTGTTAGGGAACCACATTAATGATAAAATAATTCATTTAAATGCAAAAAATATGATTAAAAATCATTTTTAGGGGGACAATTGTGGAGAGGAGCCTGAAAATGACTCTCCAGCACCCCGGAGAAGCAGGCTGTGAGACCCACAGAGCGCACCCAGAAGACAGGCTGCTTCATCTCACTTTATAACCCAGGAAAGGAGCTCAAATCGTGGGTACATGAGTGTTAAAAGTGCATTAAACTGTTTTAATTCAAATGTGCATTTGACTGCTTAAACAGCCGGTGATATGGACAGGAAACTGTCCATTGCGTCCACATTCGACTCGTGAAATGTACAGGAAACTGTCCATTGCGTCCACATTCGACTCGTGAAATGTACAAGAAGGTAAAAACAGCAGATTCACTGTTGTTAGGGTCTCAGACTCACAGGCACATATGCAGAGATCCAGGGTGATGCACATGGCTTTTCTACCCAGCAATAAGTATTTGAAACCTGGGGGAAAGTGCTGTGAATAGAAGCAGAGCGCACCCAGAGAGCTCCTTGCAGCACATGGCTCTTGCACCCAGACTGCACCCAAAGAACAGGCTGCTTCACAGCACTTTACAAGCCAGGGAAGGTGCCTGAATCCTGGGTAAACATTGTTTAATTGTTTAAGTGTTTTTAAATGTGTGAAAACAGTGTTTTGTCACTTTCAAAACTCTCCCGTCATTGACAGGAGAAATTGGGTCTGTTGTATTCAATCTGACCGTTAATATTCCAGTGAGACGAAGTACGTACAATGACCGGAGGGATCCCATGTTAATTTTGTCCCAAAACTGGAGCATTCCCTCACCCGTTATGTTGTTCGTGTTTGATCCCCCTTTAATTTAAAAAACAAGTTATGTTTTAAGCATGAAAGCTGTAGGCCTATAGCTGTCAACTGTTCAAACTGTGATCACCAGTTCCATACATTTGACAAATTTGACTTGGTTTCTATACTTATTTGAACATGTATTTCTTTATTTAAAATAATTAATCAGCTGTGCGTCTCAACCCCCCAGCAGCAAATCTATCAACCAGTTAAAGGAAATAAAACAAATATGTTGTGTTAAATAAGCTGCACAATTGACCAAATATGGTGTTCTTAGTTTCCATACCTCCTGTGTTTTATGAGCACCTTGTCAAGTTTGGGCGAACGGTCAGTTTAGACGTAATCCGTAATTTTCTGCATCATTTATGAGAAAACATTTCATAACATTAAGACAACATATTTGAGGTGGTTTTCAATAACATATCCGTATTTATTTATTTATCCAAGTTATGTTTTTGTGTGCACTGAGGAGTCGCAAACAGGCATTTGTTTAATCATTTTAAGATTGGCTTTAATCGATTTTTGCAAATGAATTCTTCATCATAAAATTAAATTAAAAAAATAAAAAGCACTTATATACCAGCTAAACACTTACATACTAACAAAGCACTAAAGGAGTGGCTTATCTAAAGCCTATTGAGTAGCACTGAAAATGGTTTGGCTCTATGAAACATAATGTACTTTTATGATTCTGTTTTCTTCAAGTTTGTATCTTCTTGGTCGAATGCATTTATTGTAAGTCGCTTTGGATAAAATCCCTCCCGTTTTTGGGCGTACCGCGTATGCATTTGTCAGAGTGTGTTTTTTATATATCGCAAAGATTGCTTAGAAATTGGAGTAGGCCATATTTTGAGCGTACGTATAAATGAGGCCCCAGGTCTGGTGAAAGACACTTGATGCTAGATAAATATGTTCAGGTATCTTTGTAATCACACGAGAGGAAGTGAAGGGCTCATTGAGACAGTCCTTAATGTTCTCTCAGAGCACATCAGACTAGAGGAGGGATGAGGGCTTTCCTCTGAAGCGTCACTGAAGCCACGTCTGCTTCAGCTGATCAGCTGTCAGCTTTAACAGCTCTACACACTTTGGACAGTTTGCTCACATGTGCACTCTGCTCATACTAATATAATGCTCTCAGTTATCATGAAGCAGCAGCAGGGTGTTACCTGTTTAACACACACCTGCTGACCATCAACCACCTGCATCTCATCTTTGTTCTGTGTCCTGCTTAGAGGCACGGGATGCATCTAACCTGGCAGAAAGAGTTCATCTTAGCCTACCTATTCATTACCTGCATCTCTACTCAGGTACAAATGCACGATTCTGATCGTGAATGTATGATTTATTAACCTAGAATAAGAGTGTTTTTCTTGAGATGACTTATTAGGGTCTGAGAGCAGAGGTCGGTGAAGACCCTATTGACCCTGCCAAACACACACAAAAGAGTCCGAAATCATGACGGCAGATAGCTCGCTACATTACTGATATCGATAGGATTATTATTATTATTGTGATTCTTATTTTAATGTGCATATCAAAAGTGCGGAGACTAAACCAAAACGCCTTGGAGGTGTGTAAAAAACGTACAAGAAGTCGGCCATTTTGAATTTAGGGTTGGAAAAATGTTCAACTGGAGTTTCTACTTTCTAAACTTCTTCAGCTCTGATCAGTTTATTAAACCTGGAGTTATTTTAAACAGGAACCATGTTTTCTAAAGTTACATCATGATTTCTTTATTCAGACTGTGGGACTGCAGTTTGTCAGAGATCAGCTGTTCTGTTCTGGTCTCAGCTCTGAAGTCCAACCCCTCCCATCTGAGAGACCTGGACCTGAGTCACAACAATCTGAAGGATTCAGGAGTGAAGCTGCTGAAAGATCTTCTGGAGAGTCCAGACTGCAGACTGGAGACCCTCAGGTCAGTTCACTGACTCTCTGTTACTGCTGGAGATCTCATGTTTCATTAGTTGTTCAACCTGATGCTTCATCATACCTATATTACATCCATACGTTTGTAAATGTTGTCGTAACAGTTGATTGTTTCCTAAAGAAACTATTATTCTTCCACTGTTGGTTGTTAAAAGAAATGTATGTTTTCTTTAGTAAATGGTCTGAATAAAGAAGGTCCTCTGAACTAATATTAGTTTTACCTAAAGTTTACTTTCTGACATAGAAATGTTTATGTTCCCATCATTTAGACGTGTTTTCCCAGATCATACACAGAAGGCTGATATAATGATGATCCACAATAACAGAATGAAAGTCACTGAAATTCAGGGAAAAGATCATTGATTAGGACGCAGTAATGTTGAGCTACACATGTCAGACCTGAACATCAGACTGGATTATAAACTGATTTTAATCCTCATCATGATTTCTTTATTCAGACTGAGGCGATGCAGTTTGTCAGAGATCAGCTGTTCTGTTCTGGTCTCAGCTCTGAAGTCCAACCCCTCCCTTCTGAGAGAGCTGGACCTGAGTGAGAACGATCTGCAGGATTCAGGAGGGGACCTGCTGAGAGATCTTCTGGAGAGTCCAGACTGCAGACTGGAGACGCTCAGGTCAGTTCACTGACTCTCTGTTACTGCTGGAGATCTCATGTTTCATTAGTTATTCAACCTGATTCTTCATCAAAACACAGGGAAAGACTAAATACAGAGAGGGGTAATCACGGGACGAGAAACAGCTGGGTAAGGGAGGCAGAAACACAAGGGCAACAGGTGAACACAATGAGACAATCAGACACAGGGAGAACAGAACAGCAAAACAAAACCCATTACCAGACAGACAACACTAAAACCGTGACATTACATTGCATTTAGCTGACGCTTTTATCCAAAGCGACTTACAATAAGTACATTCGACCAGGAAGACACAACCTTGAAGAAAACAGAATCATAAAGTACATCAGGTTTCATAGAGCCAAACATTTCAAGTGCTACTCAACTGGCTTTAGATAAGCCAGTCCTTTATTAGTATAAAAGTGCTTCGTTAATAGTTCTATCGCTCGAAGTGGAGTCGAAAGAGATGAGTTTTCAATCTGCGCCGGAAGATGTGCAAGCTATCTGCCGTCCTGATGTCAATGGGGAGCTCATTCCACCATCTTGGAGCCAGGATAGCAAACCCACGTGTTTCTGCCGATGGGAACTTGGGTCCCCCTCGCAGCGAGGGCGCAGCGAGCCGTTTGGTTGATGCAGAGCGGAGTGCACGCGCTGGGGTGTACGGTTTAACCATGTCCTGGATGTACGAAGGGCCAGATCCATTCGCAGCATGGTAAGCAAGTACCAGTGTCTTGAAGTGGATTCTAGCAGTTACCGGAAGCCAGTGGAGGGAGCGGAGGACCGGAGTGGTGTGGGAACATTTAGGAAGGTTGAAGACCAGACGAGCCGCTGCATTCTGGATGAGCTGCAGAGGTCGGATGGCACATGCAGGTAGACCAGCCAGGAGGGAGTTGCAGTAGTCTAGGCGTGAGATGACGAGAGCCTGGAACAGAACCTGAGTCGCTTTCTGGGTCAGCTGGGGACGTATCTTCCTGATGTTGTAAAGCGTGTATCTGCAACAACGGGTTGTAGCAGCGATGTTTGCAGTGAAGGACAGGTTGTTATCTAGGGTCACACCCAGATTCCTTGCAGTCTGAGTCGAGGAAACAACAGAGGTGCCGATGTTGATTGTTAGGTCAAGAGTGGGACAATCTTTTCCCGGGAGGAAGAGCAGCTCAGTCTTGTCAAGGTTGAGCTTGAGGTGGTGAGCAGACATCCACTGAGAGATGTCAGCTAGACAAGCAGAGATGCGTGCGACGACCTGGGTCTCTGAGCGGGGAAAGGACAGAATTAATTGGGTGTCGTCAGCGTAGCAGTGGTAAGAAAAACCATGCGGGCTAATGACTGATCCGAGCGAGTTTGTGTACAGGGAGAAGAGGAGGGGACCAAGAACAGAGCCCTGAGGGACCCCCGTAGTTAATTGACAAGGGTCGGACTCCGACCCTCTCCAAGTAACCCTGTAGGTGCGGTCTTTGAGGTATGAGGTGAGGAGGGAAAGTGCAGAGCCTGAAACTCCAAGTTCTTGGAGAGTGTGAAGGAGGATCTGATGATTCACCGTGTCAAATGCAGCAGACAGGTCCAACAGGATGATGACAGAGGAGAGGGAGGCTGCTTTAGCAGTGTGCAGTTCCTCAGTGACAGCAAGGAGGGCAGTTTCTGTGGAGTGACCTGCCTTGAAACCAGACTGGTGCAGATCCAGAAGGTTGTTCTCATGGAGATAACAGGAGAGTTGTTTAAAGACAGCGCGTTCAAGTGTTTTAGACAGGAACGGGAGGAGAGAGACAGGCCTGTAGTTTATAACATCAGACGGGTTGAGAGTGGGTTTCTTTAGGAGAGGGTTTACTCTTGCCTCCTTGAGACTGTTTGGAAAGTGACCAGAAGTTAGAGAAGTGTTGATGAAATGGGTGAGAAACGGTAGAATATCAGGAGCGATAGTCTGAAGGAGGTTTGAAGGGATAGGGTCCAGAGGACAGGTGGTAGGGCGGGCAGAGGTAATGAGGGTAAGAACATCACTTGGAGAGAGAGGGGAAAAGGAGGTTAGTGTGTTGGTGGAAGGAGGGTCTGGTGACCCAGCGGTGAGTAAAGGTGAGTCAGAAAAAGAAGAGCGAATATCAAGTAGTACAGTTCCTTTAGAGATCAAGGACATTGCCAGCTTTATGAGTCGGTGGGGACGGAGACAGTGAGAAAGCAAAGGCGGTTAACAGAGATGTTAGTTTGTCTATCTTCCCTGTCTGGAGGTTGAAGTGTCCGAGAAGTACAGCGGGAGGGCCAGTTTCAGGGATGTGTGAGAGGAGATTATCTAATTCCTCCAAGAAGTCCCCCAAGGCGCCTGGTGGACGGTAGAGAACAACAATGGTTAACTGTATAGGATGGGTTACTGTGACGGCATGGAATTCAAAGGTGGAAGGAGTGAAGTTAGGTAGCTTGAAGAGGGAACAGCTCCATATGGGAGAGAGCAGGAGACCAGTGCCACCTCCTCTGCCAGTGGGTCTGGGTGTATGGGAGAAGGAATATGCAGTGGAGAGAGCTGCTGGGGTGGATGTGTTGGATGGAGTAATCCAGGTCTCAGTGAGAGCAAGGAAATCCAGAGACTGCAGGGAGGCGTAGCCAGAGATGAAGTCAGCCTTAGGAACAGCTGACTGGCAGTTCCACAGGCCACCAGAAACTAGATGTTGGATCTCAGTGGAGCATGTGGGATAGACGAGAGCAGGCCGGTTATAGCGATTAGGAGATACACGGGGCCAGTGATAATTGCGAGAAGACACATGAACAGGAATGGAGAAAATACACATGATTATAGCATGAGGGGCTAGAAAACTAAAGAAAATAAAACACCAGCGGTAATTAGATCAATCAGAGTAGGAGTTGCCTCCTCTTTGCCACCCTCGTGACTCCTGCAGGACTCCAATGTCTTTGTCAGTCTTACTCCCGCAGGACTCCAATGTCTTTGTCAGTCTTCGGCTGTCTGACGCTTAAGCTGACGCTCCAGGAAAGTGCTACCTAAAATGGACGCCTGATTGCTGAGTTCTCAAAGCTGTGGGGCCACGCCCCTTTAATTAGTTAACTCTCTACAGCTGATGGGCGACAGCAGAGTGTCTCTGCCTATATTGTAATGCAGGCTTGAGTGCCCCACTGACACCTGTGTAACAGGTTCACTTGAGCAGATCTGAGATTTAAAATCTCTCAAAAGCGCCGTTTTAGCTACAATAACTACAGAACAATTATACAGAGTAGAATAAATGAAACAGAGAAGTCTAATTAAACAAGAATATAACTTACAGTGGTTGCTGCGTCAATAGGTAGTGTCGTCACCCGGTCTAGATGCACACTAACACCAAGATCGTGACAGAAACCCCCCCTCAAGGGACGGATTCCAGATGTCCAAAACAAAGTCCAACATTTCCAAAAGGGTGGGTGGAGGGGGTCCGGAGGGGTGGGTCTGGGTCGACAGCCCAGAAGCAAGGCAGAGGAACAGAAGGTGGTCTCGGGCGGACGGCCCGGGGGCAAGGCAGAGTTCATAGAGGGGGTCTCGGGCAGAAGGCCCGGGGGCAAGGCAGATTTCGAGGAGGGGGTCTCGGGCAGACAGCCTGGGGCCAAGGCAGAGTTAAAAAAGGGACGAAGGCCACAGCGGGCGAACTCAGGGGGCCGGGCATGAGGGCGAAGGCAGCGGCTGGAAGAGTCAGGGGGCCGGGCTCGAGGGCGAAGGCAGCGGCTGGAAGAGTCAGGGGGCCGGGCATGAGGGCGAAGGCAGCGGCTGGAAGAGTCAGGGGGCCCGGGCTCGAGGGCGAAGGCAGCGGCTGGAAGAGTCAGGGGGCCGGGCATGAGGGCGAAGGCAGCGGCTGGAAGAGTCAGGGGGCCGGGCTCGAGGTCGAAAGCTGCTGGGGATCTCAGGAGGCCGGGCACAAGGTCGGGCAAGAAGGCGGCGAGGTGAGGGAATGCCCCGGTTTTGTTACAAAATGAACATGGGATCTCTCCGGCCATGTTACGTACTTCGTCTGACTGGAATATTAACGGTCAGATTGAATACAAAATCGACCCAATTTCTCCGGCCAATTACGGGAGAGTTTTGAAACTGACAAAACACTGTTCCATACATTTAAAAACACTTAAACAATTAAACAATGTTTACCCAGGATTCAGGCACCTTCCCTGGCTTGTAAAGTGCGGTGATGAGCCCTGGAGGTATCTATTTAAAAAATGTATACCCAGGATTCAATCAGGTTCTATCCAAGATGGTCGCAGCGTGAGTAAGCGCATCTCAAGCTCGTATGTTTGTCGCTGTTAACTTAGCTCTTTAAAGCTTATGTCATTGATCCACATGATCTGAACCCATGAACATTTGAATATAAAATACATAGTAAAGGCTCACTACGGTCTCTGGATTATTGTATTTTTTGCAATTGCAACTATGGAGGGAAACATGTCTCTGCTAACTTTGTGGGATGCGATTCAGCAAATCAAGACCGACATGCCGACTCACATTGACTCAAAAATGGATCCCATTAAAAGTACCTTGAGCAGGATACACAATTCCCTGACTCGGCTCATCCCGCAGCTCCTGGGGCCAGATGCCTTCCCTACCCAGCCCGGGCCATCATGATTGAGCTGCTGAACTTCCAGGACAAAGTGAAAATCCTTCGTCTTGCCAGGGAGAAAAAGTCTCTGGACTACAACGGGAAACACATCAGCATATATCCCGATTTCAGTCCCGAGCTTACCAGAAGACGCCGGAGCTTCGATCCAGTCAAACGCAAGCTCCGTGAACTCAACATGAAGTACTTTCTCCTCTACTCGTGCACCCTCTGCGTTGTTGTTGATGGCACACAACAACGCTTCTCTACCCACAAAGACGCGGAGGCAGTCTTCATGTCTACCTCAAACTCTCCTGGGTGACGAACATCCCCAGAGATTAGGCTGCTGCTGAGAATTTTTACTATACACAACACTGTTCAACACTTCATTCTGCTTCACTCTTTAACTAAACAACCGCGGATGTCTTGAAAGACTCTTTCGCTAAAGATTTTTGAAGATATCCGCCTTCTTGTGACACGTAAATACTACGCTTCCTATGTTTTGGTGCAGACTGCGTTCACACCAGCAATGACCCGCTCCAGAGTTCGCAAGCAAGCGCTCCGAGACCACCTATTTTAGCGGACCAGAGTCCGGTTGTTTAGTTCACTTAAGAGGTCTCGGATTGTGTTCACACCGACCCAAATGAACCGCACCAAGCGGCTAAACGCACCAGGGTTCGATTCAACCGGACTATACAAGGCAGGTGTGAACGCACCCTAAAACTGTTGGATTGTGTTCATCCCTACAGGATAAGAGATTATGAGACGATCAGAGCAAAGATCCAGAAGACCTGTGAGTACTGAAGCCATATCCTCCATTCATCAAGATATTCTACATTAAATCTGATCTTCAAAGGTCTTTATAGTACAATAACAATATATTTTAATTCCATTTTGTTACAGCTCTATTCAGTCATTTTGGCTGCTAAATGTTCTCTTTGTTGAAGTTTAATGATTATTTCTGTGTCACCTCTTCTCTCCATCAGGTGACTCTGATGTGGAACAGGAAGCGAAGACAGACAGAAAGGTGAGAGAGGAGCAGTTGAACCGAGAGAAATGTATTTATTTCACCACTGAATTCAAATATAATTGTTAGGGCTGTCAATTTAAACGCTATAAAGCTCGCAATTGATCGAAATGATTCAGGTATTCGATTATGAGTTAAGAATATTTCTATTTAATTAGTGTTTGTTTCTTTTTTTTAATGGGAGGTGTGTCTAAGAGGATTACATATCACCAAGTTGATGCAATACATGTATATGATACATTGAAATATCTGGATCCCAGACGAAATGGGAAATATTCCTATACTGGACTTCCGTTCTGTGATTGGCTGGTAATACTGTGCTGTGATTGGCTGGTAATACTGTGCTGTGATTGGTTGGTAATAATGTGCTGTGATTGGCTGGTAATAATGTGCTGTGATTGGCTGGTAATACTGTGCTGTGATTGGCTGGTAATACTGTGCTGTGATTGGCTGGTAATACTGTGCTGTGATTGGTTGGTAATAATGTGCTGTGATTGGCTGGTAATACTGTGCTGTGATTGGCTGGTAATACTGTGCTGTGATTGGTTGGTAATGATGTGCTGTGATTGGCTGGTAATACTGTGCTGTGATTGGCTGGTAATACTGTGCTGTGATTGGTTGGTAATTATGTGCTGTGATTGGCTGGTAATACTGTGCTGTGATTGGTTGGTAATTATGTGCTGTGATTGGCTGGTAATACTGTGCTGTGATTGGTTGGTAATTATGTGCTGTGATTGGCTGGCAATACTGTGTTTTGACCGTTTGAAATTGACAATGAACTCATATGATCCAGACTAATTTGCATTTTTCAAATAATACATAAATAACTTTGTTTGCTCCAGGCTCCTGAATCCTTCTCACCTGAACACACAACTGGATCTCCATACAGGTAATGCTATAACATGACCAAACATTATTTAAACACATTCAAAATATAGGTTTATTTTATTGTGTTTAATTTCATGTCTTTCACCATGAGGTATTGCATCCAATCTCTTTCTAACAGACATCAATAAAATAATGCTTCTGTGTGTAGGATTGTTTTGTTTTTGCACACATGCACACACATTCTGATGCATGTGAACACATCTTCAGTGATGTTGCTGTAATCATCAGGTGTTTCAGATCTTTCAACAAACCCTCCTGCAGGTCAGACTCCAGCTGGATGAACACCTGTCAGTCAGAACACAGGCCAGTGAAGGCTTGTTGTAGTAACTTGTCCCCTGTGTGTCTACAGGTTCAGGTGTCCTGGTCCAGGTGTGTTCCAGTGTGATTTGACTGGCCTGGTGTTCGTCATGGCTCAGGAGGCGGAGCTTCTGTACAGGACGGTCCCTTGGGAGGAGAGTCTCCTCCAATCAGCTGGCAAGCAGGCAGCAGGGCCGCTGTTCGAGGTGAAGAGTTCTGATGAAGCTGCCGTCTGCCAGCTCCACTTGCCACACAGTGAGACAGAGGATGGTAAAGACCTCTATTGTTAACAAATATACACTTGTATAATGTTTCTGTGGCACCATTTCATATCCACTACCGCTCAAAGGTTATGAAGCAGCTTTATTAAAATAGTTAACAACAGTATAATTCAGACACCAAATGTATTATTTACATTAAAATAGTTTTGTCCCCAAAAGAAGACATGTAAAGAATTTACATTATGAAAACGTCAATTTAGTCGATGTGTTGCATGACATTATTGAAAAGAATTTCAAACATCTCTTTATTAGTTTGTATGCATAGAAATGACACAAACAAGAGAGACTTTCTATCAGCAAAACAGAAAAAACTGAAAAATAAATAAAGAAGAAAATAAAATAGAAACACAGCCCAAATAATATTCAAGTGTCTTCATTCTCCCGATCATGTTGTAGACCATTATGCTCCAGGAAGTCGAAAAGGTTTTCCAGATTTCCCAAAACCTATCCAGTTTGTTTTTAAGGAAAAGCCGTATCCTTTCAAGAGCAAGGTATAAAGTTATCCCTTTCAGCCGTTGAGAAAGTTCACAGGTCGATGGCTCCTTCCATGTGCGAGCTACGCACTGTTTAGCCTCCAAAAAGCAAGCATTGAGCAGAAACGTTACATTCTTGGAAGTTACAAAGTCATGAGGGTATATATTCAGGATACACAATTTAGGATCGAGAGGTACCTCTTTACCAATAAACACACTAATCAGCTCCAACACCCTTTTCCAAAAGGAGATGATTTGTTGGCCCTCCCACATACAGTGAAAGAGCGACCCCTTCACGTTGTTACATTTAATGCATGTATCAGGGATATTAGGATTAAAGTGGTGCAACCTAGCTGGAGTAATGTACTGTCTGTCTGGTTAGCCATTTATACTGTAGTAATTTGGAGTGTGTGTTCGTTGTTTGAGCCACGGAGCAAGCCTTTGACCATTCCTCCTGTGTTATAATTAGTTTTAAGTCCAATTTCCTCCAGGCCTGCAATATATTGTTTGAGGATTATTTACATTCATTTGCAAAAGGATTGTATAATAAGGATACTTGACCCCTGGCTTCTTGATGTCTCAAAACTATGTTTTCTAAAGTGGACTGAGGGGAAGTTCTAAGCTGCCCTGGCAGGACCTTATAAAACTCCAGAGTTGGAGATATTTGAAAAAGTGCTTTGCAGGAATTCCATATGTGGTTCTGAGCTCTTTAAATGACATACATGTAGCTTATTTAACAATACCTTTGGTAGACCAGATGTTAAAGTCTGGATCTGCCCTGCCTGGCTGAAATCCATCATTACCAACAATTGGTGAGAATTGGGATAGGTTCTGTATCCCACCAAATTATTTCAGAACACTGTGCCAAACCAAAATCGTGTTTTTGAGAAAGGGGCTCCTTGTCTCTTTAATTTATTTTTATTTTATTTGCTGAGTAAATATAAAGGTTTATGGGCACAACAAGTGACAGGGATTCCATTGTGATCCATGCAGGAGGGTTATCCTTCGAGTCCACTCTCAAGTCACCTCTCGAGTCCACTCTCAGTCACCTCTCGAGTCCACTCTCAAGTCACCTCTCGAGTCCCCTCTCAAGCCTCCTTTCAAGTCACCTCTTGAGTCACCTCTCGAGTTCCCTCTCAAGTCTCCTCTCGAGTTCCCTCTCAAGTCCCCTCTCGAGTCACCTCTCGAGTTCCATCTCGAGTTCCATCTCTAGTCACTTCTCTAGTCACTTCTCTAGTCCCTCCTCTGGTCCCTTCCCAAGTCCCTTCTCTAGTCCCTTTTCTAGTCCCTTCTCTAGTCCCATCTCTAGTCCCTACTGAATTCCCTTCTCAAGTCCCTCCTCTAGTCAATTCCCTAGTCCCATCTATAGTCCCACCTCTAGTCACTTCTCTAGTCCCTTCTCAAGTCCCTACTCTAGTCCCATTGGTAACATTTCACATTTGAAATAAATAAATACATTTAAGTTTTCCGCACTCTCGCGGGAATATCTCCCTAATGGAGCGAGCTTAAGTTTCACTTTAAATTGCATGATATAGCCAGCGCAACACCTTCATCACACATGTTGCCACTTGTTTATAGCATTTTCAAGCGATTTGTAATATGTTGGGTACAGTGGGTGGTCATAGAAAATGTGTTCTGATATATGTTCTTCAGAGAAAATGTGCCAAGGCCATTGAGTTTGAAATGATTTATCATATCATTTTTCTTTAGCTAAATAATGAAAACGGGTCCCACAGACCTGAATACCATACAAGGGTTAAAACTGGCCCACTTCAGTTGTGACATTTACATTGTACCGTTTAAATTCTTCCGACTTTAGAGGAATATCCTCTTAAATGGTCGGTGTTAAAAGACACATTAAAACTTTTCATTCAACAAACATTCAAAATCAAAGTCAAGTTGAGAGAACTTACCAAGGAAAACCCCGCTCTGGAGCTTTCTCCCTCTCAGCCAGTGCTTTAATGCTGCACACAGGGACAGAAAAACCAAAGACACCACCTTCAAACCCATAGATGTGAGGAAAGGTCATGACCTCAGGTGTGCATGACTGGACATGTCCAGAAATATTCTCCTATGGTATGGCCTAAACACATTTTGGGGCTCCAGTACTTTTCCATTGAGCCAGGGGCCTCCTGTGCACAGCCTGCTGCGAGGGAAGACAACCGTCTCCCCTCTTTAAGTTGTCCCAATCCAAAAAGGTGGGATAATTTTATTTGAAGAAAATGGTCCACACTTTTACCTTCTCTCGTTACAATGTGACAATCATACAAAATGTATCATGCTGTAAACCTTTTCTAATATAAAACCTTAATTCACAGTTTTACATTTCTTACATTACATTCTAACTTCAACTGGCCCACTTCAGTTGTGACATTTACATTCTAACCTCAACTGGCCCACTTCAGTTGTGACATTTCAATTCTAACCTCAAACTGGCCCACTTCAGTTGTGACATTTAAATTATAACCTCAACTGGCCCACTTAAGTTGTGACATTTACATTCTAACATCAACTGGCCCACTTCAGTCGTGACATTTCAATTCTAACCTCAACTGGCCCACTTCAGGTGTGACATTTAAAATGTACCTTTTAAATTCTTCTGACAAAACTTAATATAACATAGTGAAACTATAATAGGCCTAAACTCAATTTAACAAACCACTTGTGTTTGTAAATACTGTGATTATTGAAGTGAAATATAATGCATTTTCATTGTGGGTTGTAAAAGAATATATTTGATTATATTTGATTATATTAACTTTTGTTTAATTATTCAACTTAATATGGAGACCCCAACAGGTTCCAGAGATATGGCAAATATACCCTAATGACCCAAAAGATCAACTTTCACTTGTTTTGGATCAATCTTGATACAGGGTACTTATTATATGTTATAGTTTGGATTCCTAATGTCACAGCCTGCTCCATCTTTCACCAGTAGTTTTCCATTCACCTGTCTCACCTGTTAACCACACCCACATTTGTGCTCACTCTCTGTCTCTTCTGCACCCA